AATTATCTGATGGGAAGGCCTGCCTAAACATCCATGTTTTTAATTGATTCTTGAAAATACCCAGCGAGGGAGCCACGCGAATCTCAGGAGGTAGGTTGTTCCAGAGGCGAGGAGCCACCGCCGAGAAGGCCCGATTTCTTGTCTTTTCCTTCCGGGCCTCCCTCGGTGTTAGGCTCCTCAGCCTCACCTCCTGGCTCGCACGAGTGACACGGGTAGATCTTGGCGGGAGAAGGCGTTCCGCCAAGTATCGAGGTCCTAAACCGTTTAAAGGCTTTATATGTGAGCATCAACACTTTGAAGTCGATGCGGAATCGGATGGGCAGCCAATGCAATGTGGCCGGAGTGGGTGAAATGTGTTGGTATTTTCTCACTCCACTGAGTAATCTGGCTGCCACATTCTGCACCACCTGCAGTTTCCGCAGCAGCCTCAAAGGTAGCCCCACGTAGAACACATTACAGTAGTCTAATCTTGAGATTACGAGCGCATGCACCAAGGTGGTGAGTGCCCCAACATCAAGGTAGGACCGCAGCTGGGCTATCCGCCTAAGATGAAAAAAGGCGGAACGGACCACAGACGCCACCTGGGATTCCATAGTAAGCGCTGGGTCCAGATGGCAAGTTACACAACTTTGGACAAACAGTAGTCATTCCCATCCACCTTGATTGCCCGGGGCTGTTCTGCAGCTGTAACCAATCAAGCAGCCTTATCTCTGATCTCTGAAAGAATGGATTTACAAGTGGCACAACCAAAGATGGTAGCAGGGAGAGGTGGCTTCCAGTTTGAGGTTTGGCTGCAGGGAGTGGGAGTGGGGGGGTAGCGCTCTACTCATTACCCCCAGGATTTTCATTTTTACCCCATTTTGGGTAATTTACTCCTGTTCCCTGACCACTGCTTTAATCGGTAACAGTCTGCTGCTGCTGCTGTCATTCCTGTTGCAAAGGCAGAGCTATACAACAGGATTTCAGCAATAATGTACAGTACTTGATAACAAACCAGAAGTGTTTGTGTGTACTTAAAGTGCTACCCTTTTTTTAAAAAGGTGATTTGGCTTTAATCAGGGCTATACAGTTTGACGTAACCATGCTTTAGGAGTAATGAATATATGTTGTAAAATACTGGCTGTAGTTTTAATATGAATCTCTTTTCTACTTAGCTTTCCTGTTTCCCTTATTTATTTGAGTGTCTAGACAATACCAGTATATTGTAACTTAAAGGACTAAAATGCTGGATTCAGAAATGCAATTATAATTCTTATTCTATATCTCAAAGGCTGAAAAGTTTATTAGATCGTGAAAAAGAGGAACTGGCAGAAGCAGAAGTAATAAAAGATTCACCTGATTCTCCTGAACCACCTAACAAAAAGCCTCTCATTACAATGGATGAAATGCCAACCACTGAGAAATCCAAAGGTAAATCCATAATAATTACAAAAACGTTAAACTGAAAAATGATATATTTGTCACCAGACACCTCATGTATGATGTGTATGTTTTTAAGTTGAATCTTGGACTTTTAAAAACCATAATAAAATTTAAAGCTTACACTGACATTTACACTTTCCTCATCTCTTCAGGAGAAAGGGCAGTGCTGGATGGCCTTGCCAGTTCAGAGAGGAATGTGCCACTGTTTCCTCTGCCAGTTGCTAACCAGAACATTATTCCATTAGAACACAATGAAACAGTTTGGTCTAAGCTGTAATAGTTCCTTGATCAAACTAAGACAGTTGCTAGAGTTATTTCACTTTCACTTGTCAAAAAGGGCTTCTTGCTGTTTGATTCTGTTTTGTAAAATTTTTTGGAAACTATTTGTACTGTCGTCTCTAATGGATTGAGGAGTGCTTTGTGGAAAATCAGAATTTTGTTGCATGAGCTCATAAGTTGTATTGACACAGGTCAGGTTTATGTATAATATAATATGACAAAAGATACCGAATCATCAGATAAAAAGAGAAAACAATACAATTATATGTAGAACCAAGCAAACTCAAACAATGGCAAGACGGTGGCAAAAATCTAGCTTTTAACATTCTCTTAAAAGCAGAGAGGGAGGGACCCAGGCTCAACTCCACCAGGAGTCCATTCCAAAGGGAGGGTGTCACATTTTATCATATTTTGTATACAAAAAATTCAGGTGCTGTAAATTGTTTATCTGCCTTCTCAATGGGGGAGGTGATTATTTTTCTGGATCAAATAGAACTAGGAACACAGTTGATGCTCTATGTAACAACGAAACATGCTTACTGTTTTTGAGAATGCAAACTGATGTGTACACTTATATTCTGTATATTAAATCTTATTCTAGGCCCAATGTCTCTGCTGTCTTTATGGAGCAACAGAATTAACACTGCAAATTCTAGGAAACATCAAGAATTCATGGGACGCTTGAATTCTGTGAACAATAAAGCTGAACTGTACCAACATCTTAAAGAGGAGAATGGGTTTGTATGGCTAAATATATAAATGTAATTTTAGTAGATAAACACAAATTACTCCATTTGCTTGGCAGTGTTAGGTTTCTTTTTAACTAATTGGCAAGGCTTAGTAATGCAAGATCTTGTTTATACGTTTGGAGGAAATGGTGTGATCTGATTTTCTCTTTTCTGTTATAACATATTTCAATATAGGTATCCTGCTTTAGGTTTTTGGAGCAAATACTGTATTTTCCCGTGTATACGACCCCCCATGTATAAAATGACCCCTTAATTTTGTCCCTTGATGGAGGAGAAGGAGCTGTTAATGGGCAACTGCTCCTCTACCTCCGTCTCCTGCTGCTGCTGCCTCCAACTCACGTCACTGCTTTGTCCCCTGCCCTAAGGAGACATTGGCTAGGGGACGTGATTTGGTGGCAGCAGAAAGAGGCACCTGAGAGTGAGAGCATGAGAGTGCTCGTTTGTCTCTGCCTCCTGCTGAGCCCCACTGGAGGAGGTAATCGGGTGGGCGGGGGAGGCAGCAGCAAGAGGCGCCCAAGCACAAGTGACTGCTCCTTCGCCTCCATCTCCGCTTCCTGCTGCTGCTGCCTCGGCCACCAAAGGGAACAAGCTGTGAGCTCTGGAAGAGGCAATGGGGCAGTGGCGGCACTCAGAGGCGCCTGAATGCACGTGTGACTGTCTCCTTCTGTGTATAAAACGACCCTCACTTTTTCCTCGTATTTTAGGGAAAAGTATTGTTTTATACACGGAAAAATACTATATGTTTAGGATAAATAGCAGCCCTTGAATTATAATTTTTATTGAAGGTTATTTTAAAGTGCTTTCAGCATGTGTGGTAACTTGAGCTGTGTTTTTAAAAGGCAGCTGAATTCACATGGAATAATGATTTTAATTGTAAAGTCTGAAGAAATTCATTTTAAATAATTATTCATAAATTATTTAGTATTATAAGGTGAACTTAATTAGCTTTTTTCCTTTTTCTTTTTAGAATGGAAACCACCGAAAATGGAAAAGCCAGCCGACAGTGAATACCCAGTCCAAAAACGATGTTTAGTCATGTTGCATAAACCTCTTTATGCTTAATTTGATACCTGTATCAAATTGTACAGTATAGTTGCTTCAATTGGTTTTTACTTTTTCTAATTTCAGCCCTTTTCTATGAAAATACAAAATCTGAATATTAAATGCATAAATCATCTACTCTAGTGTTGAATAAAGTAAAACTTTATTTACCACTAGTTCTAATGTCTTTATAATGAAAAGTAGCTTTTTGCCTATTGAAGAAATGCAGAATTTTGGATGAGACTGGGGGAGTTGATCTCTCCTACCTCTGCTCAACTGGATTTTCTGTGGAGCACAAATAAGACCCTAGGGTGGCAGTGGAGTTGCAGTGGTCTGTTCTGATTCTGTCTGTCATATCAGGTGTGGCATTCCTCATTTTTTCTCAGTTTGAGTGTATTTACCTGGAAGTTGGTGTCTAGGACAGAACAGAGATTCTATTGGTATACTACCCATCCTGCTGCTTAATGATCTC